GGAGTGCACCATCACTCAGCTCGCCCATCGCATTTTTCAAGTCGCACCGGGATCACATGCCCAGTGACAAAAACGCCGTTGCACTATCACGATTTTCGACTTTGCATCGTACTGAATGCCGGGCAGTATGCATAACCCAAGAACCGAGCCAATGAGCGCGCCGCCTATCAGTCCCGCGCAGGGATTGTGCCATGTGATTGGTGGGTTGCGCGCCTCGCCCACTCTCGTGATGGACGCAAAAGTCGGCGAAATGGCGGCTTGGATCGACATGGCATTTATGAAATGGACACCTCAATGGCTGCATCGTCGCTCGAGTGCCAATACTCGTACAAGCCGTGCTCGAACCCGCGCACGACCAAGCGCAACGGCAGCCTCCACCTCCTCTGCGAGTTTCACCGCCAAAAAGCCAACCGGATCCAGCAAGTCTACACCAACAAGAAGCGCGCGCAGCGACACCACGCTGCGAACAAGACGACCCAGCAATTGTCGCTCAAGGACGAGCCCGCGCTGCCGTTGAGTCCGGTGGAGCTCGCTGCGCACTGGGCATCGACCGACTTGTTCTCGTCGCTCTGGAGCGACGAGAGCTTTTCTCCGTGCTGGAACGCTGGATCGCCCATCATGACGCACGAGGAAGTGGCCATTCTCAACGAGCTCTTTTAGCATCACCAATTCTCTCTCTGTGGGCGGCCGATCTGGCGCCTTTACAACACCCAAGTTTATGTAACGTGATTAATTTACTGTTAGAAACGTGTTTTCCACACACGTGCATGTGTCTTTGGTGTAAATCACTGCATGGTGGCAGTGCAACCAAGCTGGAAACAGCGAGCGCATCACCTCGCAAGAGAGCGGCCCCAAGCGAAGACGAGCGCGGTGGCCAATCGAGTCGCGTCGACGTTGCTCAACGTCACGCGCGCACTGAACTTACTTGCGCTCGCACGCATGTATTCCACACGCCACAAAATGATTTTTCGAATTTTCACCGTGTGGAATCCCGTACCAAGCCAATGGGCAGCGTGCCATTGGCTTTTCTGCGCATTTCCCACACGTGCCACAGGTGCAATCTCATCTATCAGTCGCGTGCCACCACTGATCGGTGTGGCAAGCGCTGGCACAGAACCGAAATGGACGCCAAGACCGAGTGCCAATACTCGTACAAGCCGTGCTCGAACCCGCGTACGACCAAGCGCAACGGCGCGCCGCACCTCCTCTGCGAGTACCACCGCAAGAAGGCGAACGCGATCCAGCGGGTCTACGCGCAGAAGAAGCGGCTCCAGAAGCAAGCCGCGAGCGCCAGCCACCGCCACAGCACCCAGCCTCCGGGCACCGAGTACGCGATGCAGTCGACGCACACGCGCCACCACATTGCGATGCCGCAGTACCTCGAGCCGTCGTACCACAATCGGGCCAACGTCCAGTTTGACCCGCGAGGAGGAGGCGTCTCGATGGCGCTGCCCCGCCTCATGTACCCGCCTGTCGCCGACAATGGCTTTGGGTATCTTACAGCGCTTTTGCGAGACGACCTGCGTGGCGAGAAGAGTCCGCACCACCACCACAGCACCCACCACGGACGGCTGCCGTAGTTAGTTGTCGAGCCCTAACGTACACTCTTATCCTGCATCTTCCATTTGCTTGCTTGTATCAACATGCCACGTGGTGGTGCCAACAAAGTTGCGAGTTGAGATTTGCTGGGTCCCGTTATCGGTGGAACGCCAGAGAGCCTCGATGCCAATGCTCACAAGGATGAACAGGACAACGTACACCGACATGATCAAGAAGGTCTGTGGACGTTAGACTGTTGACGGCCCGTCGTGGCATTGTTGAGGATCCACAAGCTGATCGCATGTGATCGGTGGCACTCGGAAGCTCCAGCTGGAAACACGCAGCCTGCATGGCGGCGTTATCGCTACTGCGATCGAATTCGCACCGTGAGCTTGAAAAAGTGGGCAGGCAGAGCGGGCAGAGACTTGGCCAGTGGCTGGCTCCACTGCGTCGTCGCCAGTGGCCATCCTACTGTGTGAAGCAATCGAATCGATCTAAACTCTGACTAGCGCCACGGGTCCCTCCAGCGGGTACCCTATTTTCGATAACGGGCACATCGCAGGGTCGCATTTTTCACCGTTTTATCGTACGCCCCCCAAAGAAAAGACGTTTCTTGGACCCACCCCCGTAGCGTCGCTGACGCCAATCAAAAAGAACTATCACCACGGCCTGTCTCCAATTGGCTGGCCCTTCTGCCATGCTTCTGCTGATATTCCATCAGTTGCGCCATGGCCCCCAAGCCCCGCCGGACCGTGAGCACGCTCCCGTGGCAGTGCCAGTACACGTACAAGCCGTGCTTTGAGCGGCGCGCGACCAAGCGCAACGGCGAGCTCCACTCGCTCTGCGAGACGCACCGCAACAAGGCCAACGCGCTCCAACGGGCGTATGCCAAGAAGGACCGCGACGCGACCGAGAGCGAGAGCGGCGAATCGTCGTCGCCGACGCCGCCCGAGCCGCAGCACCAGTGCCAGTACACATACAAGCCGTGCTTCCAGCCGCGTGCGACCAAGCGCAACGGCGAGCTCCACTCGCTCTGCGAATTCCACCGCACCAAGGCCAACGCGCTCCAGCAAGCGTACGCGCAAAAGAAGCGCCTCAAGCGCCTCAGCGAGGCGTCGCCGGCACCAATCAATCCGCTTCCCAACAAGCGGCTCTGCATTGGCAACCTCCTCGCGGCCGACGCGCGTGCGTTCCCGCAGCCGCCACACTACCTCCCGCCGCCGCCACCGACCTACCACGCGCCACCGCCGCCTTCCAGCTTTGTGTCGCCGATGCTGCGGGGGGCACCTGGCCGGCCGACCGTGCTGCCACCGCTGCGCTCGCTCCACGCGACGCATAGCTTTCTGCAGCCGCCGCCGCGCCCGCCGACCGAGCTTTATGCGCCGCCGTACGATGGCCGGTACTATCATGACGGGCGGTACCCGGATCAATCTTGGGGCGACCGAGGACCGCAGCCGTAGCGAGTTACACCACCGTAGGATTTGTTGGTTATTTATGTAAGAGAACCCGGTGCCTATGCACAACTGCTCGATGGCCACGAGGCGGCGCGCCGAGGGGACGCCTTTAGGGTGAGTGTTGAGAAATGCATCTCCGACCGTCGGCGTTGCACACGTCGCAGCATGGTGACGAAGCGAGATGATCGCGGTGCCATGACCGGAAACAAGTCAAAAAGACAAATGGCATTTCCAAGCAAATAATAGCACGAGTGTGCTTGGAGCGCTCAACTACTAATGGGTCATACCTGTACGCTAGTTCGTCTGCCGACGCCGAGAATGCAGCGAACAAGCTATTCAACGATACACCGGTTCACGGATTCCAAATACTCTTACAGCTTGCCTACGTTTGCTATCGACGTTTGACAATACTGCCAACGGCCACAGCAAAAGCTAAGCCGTCGGCCAATGCTTGGAGGCGCGAACGCTTCGACCGAATTTTGCGCGAATCGCTTAGCCCAAACGCCCAAGTCACTGACCATCAAGGACGCGACACTCGTCAGCATGCGCGACCGGTCGATGTGATGAGCGCTGCAATCGGTTTGGAGTAGAAGCACGAGTAGCGAAAGACGAGACAACCATACATCGAGTTGGCCGTCCGCTTGATGGCGCGCTCGCGGATGTCAAGCCTCACTGCCTCATTGCTATCGAGGTTCAATGCCGGCGAAGGGAGCTGACGAAGGGGAGATCCTTTCTCATCATGTATTTTGGATGAATAAAAACGCATCAAAACAAGCAATCTTTGTTGGCGGCGTGAGTCTACAATGAAATATGATAGAAACTGAATGTTCTCTACAGCTGGAAGATGACGACAGTGAGTAAGTGCTGTAGACATCAAGGCTCTTCCTCGCGACGATTACGACGGATCCAACAACAACGACGTTTGTAAGTTATATCGCACGGCGATTGTGTGTCGACCGCACACTCAAGGACGAGTCTTTCGTTCCCAACCTTTCTCCCTCGCCTCGACAGCTAATCTGGTCACTGCCCATGCCTGCAGCGTTCTGCGTCTCCAAGTACGACTCGTCGATCAAGATCTCGCTTTCTCCGCAAAGAACTCAACGCGGACTCTATAAGATCTCGGGTTTGTGACCGGACCCATTTCAAGTTGGCACTGCATGGCACGGGTTTTAGCAGCGTGGCTACTCGCTTACGTGCTGCTGCGATACAGGAGGCTTTGTGATACAGCGTTGGTTTCTACCAAGTATACGACGGTGGATTTACACAGCAGGCGGAGTCCAAATGGTGGAGGCCCTCTGTTGGCTCCAACGTCGTCGTCGTCGTCGAAAAGCCCCATTGGCTGTCACTGCTACCTCGGTTCGAGACGCTATGATAGATGCATGCGTCGCAGCACCAGTCGCGTTCCCTCCCACGCTTATGGCACAAACGCAGCGCAACCGACGAATCAAAGGCGTTCTATCATACGCAGCGCGCCGGATCGGCAAAGCGGATTTGCTGCCACCCAGATTGCCGACGTGTGTGTTTCAAGTGTTCTCTGCTCACTTTGGCATTTCCCACGAGACGCACACATCGATAAAGCGACGTAGTACCAGCATGAGCGACGACTCGCAGCACCACGACCAACTGTGCCAATACTCGTACAAGCCGTGCCCGAACTTACGCACGACCAAGCGCAACGGCAGCCTCCATTTGCTCTGCGAATTCCACCGCCAAAAAGCCAACGCGGTCCAAAACACATACGCCGCCAACAAGAAGCGTGCCCGGTCGTCGCCCGCTGGCGCGCTCAAGGCCAAGCGAACGCGCCTCACGGAGCGCGTGGCCCGGCCTCGGAGCTGCGAAGACGACTACATGCTTGCGCCCCACTCTCTTGACAATAGCCTCTTGGGGCTCTTTGACCCGCTCGAGTGCCATGCCTCGCCGTCGGTCGAACTCACCATCGACGAATACATCTTACTACATGAGATTTTTTGAAATGAAAGAGAATACAAACGTAAGATAGAGTGCTATCGGAAGAAAGACATGCGATTAGTGCAGGTATCTCGGACTGTGTCCATTGCGCTTTTTGTGTAGGGATCAAAACTAATGAATACATTGGTCGAGAAATCGACGCTAACTCGAATTTCAGTTTTCGATTCGGCAGCGGCAAGGGTTTTTGCGATGCGCGCGTCGGGCTGCATGTTCACGCGACACACAGTACATTTCACCAACAATGAGAAACAGCTCCGGTGCCATCCTCGAATACATGCTACTATTAATAGTAGTCCTTTTCGACTCTTATACGATGACAAGAGGTATCCAAAATACTGCATATTGAATCTGGTCATCTGGTGCTGAATCCAGCATCACTGCACCAATCCGAGGCCGCCTATCAGATTTTCTGGCTGCGGATTGGTGCAATGCGATGCAAGGTGGGACCAGGGTTCGGACCATGGCGCGAAATTCGCTGGCGCCAGAATGATACCACGTGCAAGCCCATTTTGGAAATGGAGCCGGCGACGACGCACTGCCAGTACTCGTACAAGGTGTGCACGCTCCCCCGCTCTCAAAAGCGCAACGGGAGCCTGCACCAGCTCTGCGAATTCCACCGCCAAAAAGCCAACCGGATCCAGCAAGCGTACACCAACAAGAAGCGCGCGCTCAAGGTGCAGCGCGACATTGAGCCCGTGCCGTTTATGGCCACAGGAGCTGCCGTCGCGAGCGACCGAGTGGATCTTCTAACCGCCTTGTTGTTCGACGACTCCGACGACGCATGGGCGTCAGAGGAAGCGCTGGTCATGACGCCGGACGAAACCCGCATTTTGTACGAGCTCCTCCATAGCACGCCAGTCTAATTTATAAAATGCTCTGTCCGATTCGACACATATGATCCTTGACTTTGATGCGAGCGATTGAGAGCTCTAGTAATATACACAATGTAGTTTGATTTCGCTGGATAACTGCTAGGGTAACTTAGCTAAATATTTTTATTCGCCCTTGCTTACAATTTCTCTACATTTCCATTTTGCGTCCACACCAAACATGCGTCCAAGGACGTCTTCCAGTACAATGGATGGACCCGCCAAGTACTATATCATTGTACTTGGCGGATGAACACGCACAGCGATGCCACGAAGAATCTTGACTCGTACTGAGTATGTAATTCGTTTGTTGTTGTTATTGAAGTGCAGGACGTAATTCATGTCCTACTTGTTAGCACGTCTGGCTACAAGGTACGTGGCCGCTTACTTGTGATGGATCCCACTCTGGTGCATTGAATACTTGTTCAGCGGGCCGGAACGTGCAAGCAGCTGAATGTCGCCGCGTATGAATAACCTTGTGGAATTCCTAGTGTAGTCACCCACCTATCACACATCTCGCGTCATTTCATGCCGACCATGGGCGGGCGCCCAAATATTTGCTCCTTTGCGGCGCATGGAGCTTAGTGTTGAAATGGCACGCCGCAAAGCCGAGGCCGCCCCGACGTGCCAGTACACGTACAAGGTGTGCACCAATATCCGCTCGACCAAGCGCAACGGCAGCCTCCACCTCCTTTGTGACTACCACCGCAAAAAAGCCAACGCGATCCAGCGTGCGTATGCCAACAAGAAGCGGCAGCAGCAACCATCACGAGTGGCTCCAGTCGCTGAGAGCAACGAGACCCCGCAAGCGATGACGACACCGCCGACAACAACACGGCGAGGATCCGCTCGAACGACCGACGACACGCAACCACCAGCTGCAGCAACACCCTGCGGCTCGGAGCTGGCCAAGACAAAGAAGAACCCGAAGAAGGAACCGGAGCCCACGATTGCGTTTACGAGCGTCTTGGACACGTTGGTGCCACCGTCGTTTCCGACCGAGGAGCCACCGCCCGAGTACCCGATGTGGGAGTACCTCGAGACGATTTTGTTTGAAACCTAATCGTCGTCAGTCGCATCACGACGAGCGGAAGTGTACTTCCCATACATATGTATTATAAACAGTAGTGTTATCATGTCCAGTCAACAAAGCACGCCGGTGTGACTGTCGGGTCTACACCATCGGATCCGGCTTGGAAACACCGCAGCGAAGCAGCGGCCGGCCGCAGACGCTCACTTGGTACTTGACGCCGGTGGCGAACCGATCGTGAGGGTTGGTCCGGACAAGGATCCCGGCCACGAGCCCGACAAGCGTGAGGACGCGCAGCCAGGCAAAAATGGCGTCGTAGACTTGAACGATGGGCTGGCGCTGCACAAAGTAGCGCGCTTCCAACGAGGCGCCAAAGCTTAAACCGCCGATGAGAAGGGCGGCCACCCACGCCAGCACGACGCCGCTGTACGCTTTCGCAAAGGCGGGGGCCCCAAAGAGCACGTGGGCAAACGACGGAAAGATGCCAAAGCCGACACCAAAGCAGACGTTGAGGCCGCGGACGAAGCCTTCAAAGCTGTCGAGGTCTCGCGTTCGGAGCGTCTCGGGCAGCTTGTACAGCAAAAGGACTTGGACGAGAAGCGCCGTGACGAGCAGCAGCTTGCGAGCAAAGGGCGGCGCGATGCAGCGGCTGAGCACATCGGCGAGCCCACCGCCGAGTAGACGCCCGAGGATGCTGTACAAGCCAAACGTGACAATGATGCGCGTCGCTGCGTCGCGAGATTGACCAAACACTGTGAGGAGGAGCAGCGGGTACCGAGGCAGCATCGTGACACCGTATACGACGTAGCCAAACACGAGCAGCAGAAGCGCCGCGTAGTCGAGCGATACGAGCGGCGACGACCACAGGGAAGGTGCAGATGGTTCTTCGACCTCGAGAAGCACGGGCGGCGAGAGTGTTGTACTCGGTGAGAAGGGCGCCTTTGGCGTCAGCGGCTCGTCGTCGTCGGGCTTCGGCGCGTCGAGCGACGTCGTTGGCGGCGCCCAATAGAAGCAGGCGCTGCCGAGAAGCAGGACGGCGGTGACGCCGCCGCCAACGACCAGGAAAGCGCTGGATCGCCCGATCGAGGTTGTCGCAGGTAAGAGCGCTTTCGAGCCAACAATCGAGCCGACGCCAAATGCGGCTGCCAAGAGACCACCGCAAAGGCCAAGGTAGCAGTCGTGGCAGCGCTGAAATGCAGTGGCGAACGACGCGCCGTAGCAGAGACCGAGGCCGAGACCGTGGATGACGCCGTAGCCGAGCAGAACCAGCGCCGTCGACGTGGTATGGACGCCAATGGCTGTGAGGCCGTACCCCAGTGCGACCAAGGCGGCGCCGAGCCCGACCCAGCGCGCCGGCGGAAGCTTGGGGTAGGCGACGCCGACGACGACGACACCGAGTGCAAAGACGCCCATGGCCACGTAGTAGGCGTGCAAGGTGCGTCCGTCGAGCGGGTTGGCGTAGAAGGCTGTGTCGAGGGTCGCGAGGACGCTGATGAAGCCGTTGACGACGCCGCACCCGAGCTGCACGAGCGTCGCGCCGATGACTGTGCGCAACATCTCCGACTTGGTTTTGTTGGTTTCCTCCGTTGACCTTTCCAGCGTCGTAACTGGCGCCACGGCCCGCCACGTTCTATATTCGTGAAGTGCCACTGAACCGAAGGATAAGGGTCCACTCCTCTGGCGAGATGGACCGAGATGTCGTTGTTGATGTCGTCGACGGCAAGATACACTGTGCGTGTAGCTGACGCAACACCAAAGCATGCGAGCGGCTCTGCGCCACCGCTGATGACCGTTGCAAAGGATCTACCTCGTCTCGCCCAGGTCGGTGCTGATACCACCTCCAATACGTGTAGTCACAAGTCCGCATGTGGTAGTTTGTGCTCTTCAGCCTTTGTCGGCAGTCGTAGCCAGAGAATTCGTGCATGCAGCCATTGACACTCGGTGCCCGCAATGTAAGATCGCCATGTGCGCTGCAAGATGCACTTGCCGAGATGCAGCCTGCGTGCTGAAACCCATCGAAGCGTGAGCTCGCTTTGCCAGGATGACAACATGCGCAAGGACTGGAGCCACACGCTTGCTCTCCAAGATCCCAGACAAAGCTAGATGACCTCTGCGGTCCACTATAGCATAGGCTGTCGCTGCAAGGCGTGGTGAAGGCGTCGGTGGCTCGAGGTCTGAGGTGCCACCTCCGCTTTTTGATGTGGCACATGCCGAAGCACCCAAATGGATTGCGGCCGGCGAGCACAATAAATATAATTGCTTTACTTGATTCCAGTATGTGGAATTAAATGTAGGGAAAATAATACTTTGCGCGGCGTCGGATTGGCCACGCGGGAGCCAATGGCCTTGCGCGTGTGCTCCTGTGCATTCGTTGGTGTTTGCCGAAGTCCTCGCTGCACGATCGATGGCCGCCCAACTGCGACCGCTCGTCGGTGACATCCTGCGCCGTGCCCATGCCATGAGCTTCAGCACCAAGCCGCACAGCACGCCCGGCGGTGGCAAGCGCTGGACGCCCAAGCCGCGCACGGACCTCTTCCCGAGCAAGCCGCATGCCAAGAAGCCGACGACGATGGCGCCCAAGGCCGGCGCCGGGTCGACCGACGCGTTCGTCAAGGAAAAGAAGCAGCGCCAAACGTGGGACAAGGAGCTCAAAAAGTGGGTGGTGTACGAGGAGCCAAAGCCGGTCGCGTCGCCCGCGCGCATGCTGCGCACCGAGACCAAGCCGACGCCGATCAAAAGCGGTGAACCGGGCCGCTTCCGTCTCTTTGGCGACCGCGATCTCAAGGTCACCGTGCCGAAGCTGCCAACCTCGAAGCCGCCCACCTCGAAGCTACCGACGTCGAACCTGCCAACCTCCAAGCCGATCGAGAAGCACGTGACACGGAAGGACTGGCGCCACAACCCGCCGCACTCGCACAGCTTTCAGGACCCGAAAAAGAAGGCGCACGCCCACACGGTGGCGCAAAAGGCGCTGCAGTTTGAAAAGAGTCTCTTTGACTCGGAGTCGTCGCTCTTTCCCGACATTGACTGGAAGTCGCGGCCTCGGAACGACCGCCGGCGCTTTCAGGAGCGTCAAAACTCGGCGCAGCGGTCGCGCAACTCCAAGAACAGTCAAATGCGCAAGCGCGAAATGATCGCCGAGCACCTCAAGGACCTCAAGGTCGAGATCCCGGTGACAATCACAGTCTCGGACCTCGCAGAGCGCATGTGCATCAAGTCGTTCAAGCTCGTACGCGTCCTCAAGGGCCTTGGCGAGCGCGTCAACGACGACACGGGTGCTCTACTCGCGTTGACTTGAAGCCGCTCACATGCCACTTGTAGAGATTTCGGCCGAAGTCGCCGAGCTCGCGGTCGAAGAAATGGGCATGATCCCGATCCTCATGCAGGGCTTTGTGGATCTGACGCGAACGCAAATTCCGGACGACTGCAGCAGCTTTCCCGTGCGCCCGCCCGTGGTCTCGGTCATGGGCCATGTCGACCATGGCAAGACGACGCTCCTCGACGCGCTTCGCAACACGACGACCAAGGAGCACGGCGGCATCACGCAGAGCATTGGCGCGTTCACAGTGCCAATGGCCGAGTCGCCGACGCCCATCACATTTTTCGACACACCGGGTACGCACTTCGATCCTGCCAAAAGCTGTTTTTACGGATGATTTTTAGGGCATGCGGCGTTCAGCAACATGCGTGCGCAGGGCTGCCACCTCACGGACGTGCTCGTGGTCGTCGTGGCGGCCGACGACGGCATTCGCCCACAAACCAAAGAGGTGCTCGAGCTAGCGAAGGAGCATGATTTGCCCATGATCATTGCCATCACCAAGTGCGACCGGTACGAGTCTCGAATATTTGTGTCTTTTGATTCATGTTCTCCTTGTAGATACGAAGACCAGGAAGACGAAGTCATCGAGCGCATTACCCAAGAGCTCGAGTTCAACGGCATTGAAGCGCACGATACGCAGCTCGTGTGCGTCTCGGGCAAGACGGGCAAGGGTAGGATTTTTGATTTCCAAAATGATTTTTGAAGGACGAGTTCCGTGTAGGACTGGACGAACTCAAGCAAGCGATTGTGCTGCAGGCGGAGCTCATGGACCTCCGCGCCGACACGGCCGCGCCGGGCGAAGGTGTTGTCGTCGAAGCTACGCTCGTGCGCGGGTACACGCTTGGACTCCAGCCGCATATTTATAAACCCTACACCTAGGTGGGGCACGACCGTCGATATGATGGTCACGTGGGGATCGGTCTCGGTCGGTCAGTTTGTGGTCTGCGGCCTCGAATACGGCAAGATCAAGTCGCTCGTCGATGAAAACGGCAAGCCCGTACGCAGTATCTTCTTTATTTGTCGATTTACAAATTGGACTATTGCATTAGGTCAAGATCGCGACGCCGAGCATGCCCGTGCGCATGGTCGGCCTCAAGGAGCTCCCCAAGACAGGCGACTCGATCCTCCCGGTCGAGACGGAAGAGCTCGCGAAGGAGATTGTCACCGAGCGCGCTCGTATCCAAGAGCAAGTGCGGCTCAAGGAACTCGCGGCCAACATGGCGGAAGGCGAGAAGAAGGACCACGTGCCGATCGCGCGCCGGCAAAAGGCGCGGCAGCTCGAGCTCCAGCGCCAAGAGCGCGTCTCGGAGGAGAAGCGGCTCGAGAACCTCACGGTCGACGACGAAGGCTACGTCAAGAAGATCATCCCGATGATCCTCAAGACCAATTCGCTCGGTGTCATTGACGCGATCGACCTCCTCGTGCAAGAGCTCAACGACGTCAACGACGAGTGCGAGCTCAAGCGCATCCACGGCGGCGTCGGGCCTGTCTCGACCTCCGATATCGACTTGGCCGCGCGGACCGGCGCGACGATCTTCACCTTCAACACGCGCCACCCGGGCTCGATCGACAAGGACGCGACACGTACTCTCTCTCGCATGCGATGGCCTCTGATAGATTGATACATTGTAGGTCGAAAGATTGATATTCGGTCGCACAACGTGGTCTACGCGCTCGTCGACGACATTGAAGCGGTTGTGACCAAGGAGATGACGCCGGTCGTCGCGGAAGAAGTCGTCGGTGCCGCCGAAGTCCTCCAAGTCATTTCGATCAACACCAAGGGTCGGGCCAAGGTGAACGTGGCCGGCGTGCGCGTGACGGACGGTAATCTGTATGCGGACTGCACCTTCCGCGTGCTGCGTCAAGGCGAGGTCGTCATGGACGGCGCGTCGCTCGAGAGCATGCGGCACTACCAGGAGAAGATCTCGGAGAGCGCCAAGGGCCAAGAGTGCGGCCTCCAATTTGAGAACGACGTGCCCTTCAAGCAGGGCGATGTGCTGCAGGCGTACCGCCTCAACAAGGTCCCGCCGAAACTCCAGCGCCAGTAGTAAATACCACCAACAACGACCGTAGACTTCTTCTTCTTCTTCATGTAGAGTACGATGCTGCCAACCATATATGTGGTGATGCATTGGCATGGTAGAAACAGAGCGCGCTAGGCGAGGCTGAGCGCGTACACAGTCGCGATCGCGACCAGCGTCGGCGTCTCGTAGCGCACGACGACCTGGCCGTCCGTGTCGGCGTTCCACGCGCACGCGGACGACGTGTGCACACCGCCGTTCTTCTTCTGCAGCAGCGCGAGATGCACGACAAACTTGAAGCCGGCGGCGCCGTCCGCAAGCGTCTGGAGCCGCTGGAGGCACGCGGCCGGCAGTGACTGCGTCCATTTCTGGGCGTCCACGGGGTGGTAGACCTGGTCGCGCAGCGCGTGCTCGAGCGTCTACCCAGGAGCACATGGACATGACGCACGCGGTGACGGCGACGTACCTCGAGGACCACGCGCTTGGCGTCGGCCTGGATCGTCTTGAAGAAGTAGACAGGCTCGATCTCCATCTTTCAGCGGCCGGCGAGCGATGTAAATGCCACGACGCTATCCGGATAATGGTGGGCAAATTACCGGACGCGCGATGGAGGCAGACAATGGCTCGTGCAGATCCCTCTTGTTGTCTTGATTATCGAGACCAAATTACGTATGCTAGTACAGAGCTGTCAGGTGTCAATGGCGGTGAACGTGTAGCCTCGCATCCTGCTTGACTGGCGTGCACGCCGCTGTGCTGCCGAGTTACACCGGAAGACGAAAGCAACGTCGACGAAATGGCTTGCTGATGTTGAGGACTCGAGGTATCATCAACCAACGCTATCGTTGCAAGGCCAACGGGGTTCCGCTGCCAACGTCGTCACCACTGAATACACCGCTGCAAGCGTAGTATGGTCCCCGCCACGAGGCAAAGTGCAAAGAGTCGCGCTGCCGGATGCTATCACCTCGGCTCCACCTCGGCACGCATCGCATCGAGTTGGGTGCACCCGCGATGGCGATCTATACTTAGACGTCCTAGCCCTTCGGCTTACTAGAGGCAAGGAATAGACGGACTGCGCTCTCCATCGGTCATCGGTCTTGGTTTCCTGTCCTTGACCGACGTTAGCTGCTTCACTTAGGGACGGTGCTCCAAGCTTAGAGTCTGAACTGCGAAGAAGTGGATCGGCCTTGGCGACTCGCCTCTCGAAGCCACCAGACGTCGTTGGGTTGCACGCCACCATCTCGGTACCGCAATCGCCGCTCACAGCTGACCACCGCGGCCCCTGTCGCAGCCACCGAGCTGTGTTTCTTTTCGTCAAGGGGTCCATCACTCGGTGGCGATGTTGGTCGTAGAGCTGGAGCTAGTGGGGGCCTTGTGAGTCGCGTGGGGTGCTAGCACCTCGTTCAGCTCAGCACACTGCAAACCCAATGCGAAAAGAACCGTTGTGAAATTGCGCTAGGATTTGCTATGCATCTATGCAGATTCGTTACCTTCGACAACAACGATGACGCAGAGTGCACGCCCCGTCATCATGCCAATCAACGCAGCGCCATAATCCTTTGCGTACCCTGCAGCCTGTCTGTTTGCGGGCGCATCATACAAGTCCTGTGCCACCGCATTTTTCACATTTACCACGTCAATTTGACGACATGTCGCATGTGGGAAAAAGAACGCCCTACGTTGCTGGACGTCGCGCTGTGGTAGCGATTTGCTATTAGCACTCGCTATTAGCACACCAACACATAACGAGGCGCGTGTCTAGAACTGATATCTCTGCAAGCAGCCACCTAGTATAGCAAACGCGACGACCTTGGCGCACCAATAGGTCACAGCCAAAACCACATTTCCAACATGTGCACACCGTGAAAAATAAATGTGAGAAAGGAGCGTTGATGAGTTTCGCGCGACAAATTCAAAAATCGGACTTTGACTTTGGAATCCAAGAGTCGTTGTCCTTGGAGCTTCATTTTGAATCTTGACACTTGAGACCCAAGCATGAAGTTTGACCGCTTGACGTCACCCATTGACGGCGACTACGAGATCGAGATGACCGACGAGGCGCCGCCGCAGCGCAAGCGACACCGCGCCATCCTGATTGGTACACAATTTTCCCTCCAAAATGCATCCCCTCACGACAAAATATATTGTAGGCTGCCTCGCTGCCGTGTATCTGGCAATGACGGGAACCATTATCTACCTTGCTGCGAGCAAATTTTCGAAGGCGTCGTCCATGCCCGTGATCCTCATGGTCGGCGATTCCATCACCGAGTACGCCGCGAACGTCAACATGCACGGCTTTCAGGCGTCGCTGGCCCACGACTATATTCGACACGCCGACGTTGTCAACCGGGGCCGGGCCGGTTGGTCGACCCAGTACGACAATATTGTCATGAAAGTTGTGGTAGTTATGAACAAACTATTGTAGGAATTGGCGCCCAAAGATCCCAGCGCTGATCCGCGAGTGGGAAGCCCGATCGCCGATCCTTGTCACGATTGCGCTCGGCACCAACGATGCATCCCTCCCGAATGCAACGGGGCTCTACGTACCACCGAACAAGTACAAGGCCAACCTCGAGAGCATGGTGGCGGGCCTCAGCAGCGCCTTTCCGTCGACAAAATTCCTCCTTGTGACGCCGGGTGTCGCGGACGACGACTCGGCCATGGGCCAGCTGCACCGCAACGACCGCCAGGGAACGTACGCGGCGCTGTGCAAAGAAGTAGGCGACAAAATGAAGATTCCAGTTCTCGATCTGTGGACGCCACTGCAAGGCAAGCAAAAGTCCGTCCTTAGCGACGGCCTCCACCTCAATCAAGCTGGCAACGAGTTTGTCTACGACCAAATCAAGAACGCGATCGCAACATCGTATCCGCAGCTGCGACCCAGCGCGTTGCCCGAGCGGTCCTAATGTCCATAACGTATAATTCTATTTACAAAAAACACGTTTACGCGCAGCTCGTCGCGACGCACGCAACGACAGAGTGCTGGAGGGCTTGCGAAAGCGAGCCAGTTGGTTTCCCGTGCCGTTCGAACGTTCCAAATGGCAAGCAGGATGATATATTTTCCGCCTGACACAGACCATGTCAAAGCATTCTGCTAGCTATTCTGCTTCACAAGACTGGTAGCAGCTCCGAGACCTTCATGAAGTGCATCGTAGAAACGCATTGTGCATGAGAACCAGCAGGTTAATGATGTGTGGGCTACTCACTTGAGGGATTACCGGTACTAGTACGTTCTAAAGAGCACACATCATGCGCTCGAATTTGCATCAGCGATAAATCACTTTGGGGCTTTGACACTACCTAGGTAATCTCAGTTCAGCGCAAAGGCGCGTAGGACCTCGCGGTCGTTGAGGCCCTACTACAATACAGACAGTAGTCACAGACCGGGGGACGATTGATTGGCATGTCGCTGATTGGCTGCGACCAACCAATCGAAACACAGCAAAGATACATCCACCAACTGCGTTTCAAGGATCGATGACGTTGTCAGTACTCTTTCATTTAACATAACACACTGGACCTATCTCCTAGACAATATCTACGGGTCGCAGCCACCACCGCCCGCGACAACCATGCACGACGTCGACGGGAGCATCGAGAGCACGCTGGCTGTGATCGAAAAGACGAGCGCGGCGAGGACGAAGACAAGGACGCAGCCGCCGACGATCGGGTAGCTGCCGCCGTGGCGCTGGAGGTTGTGGAGCGCCGCCTTTTGCGTCGGCAAGAAGATCGATGTCATGGCCGCGACGAGAAACCCGGCGTAGTAGATAAGATACGTGTACGTGACCTGGACGCGGACCTCGGGCGTGTCGCTCACGATCGAGTCTTCGTCGACTTGGAAGTGGGCGCAAATGATGCTTGAGAGCACGGGGCCGACGGCAGCGGGAAGGTTCGAGACGGTCGTCAAAAGGCCGTAGACGACGCCTTCGTTGCCGATTTCGGCGAGCTCGACAATCACAAAGGTCGTGACGATGAAGAGGACGCCTTGGGGCAGCTGCTCGGCCAAGGGGACGCCAAGGTAGAACCACTGGTTGCGCACAATGGCGTAAAACGTGCAAAACTGCACGACCGAGTCGATCGCGATCGTCGCCAAGGTCGTCGAGACCACCACGATGCGCCAGTTCCAGTTGGTGCCCCACTTGCCAATCGAGGCCATGACGCCGGCCAGAATGAAGTTGGAAATGATGACAATAATCTGGCTGTTGAGGTTCTCGACCTTGGCCCAGTGCAGCTGCACGTATGTCGCGGCCGTCGACGAGAGACCGCCGCCAAAGAGATTGTAGAAAAAGTTGAACAACATGATCTGCCACATGGCGCGCTTCTGGAGCAGCTCCCAAACCTGGCCCAAGTAGTGCCCAAACGGAACGGCCGGCGCCTTTGTGTCGCGGATCACAAAATAGGTCGTTGGCACCATGAGAAAGCACGGAATGCAGAGCAAAATGTACATGGTGTTGACGCCAAAGTCCCACGAGAAATCACCGGCAAACCGCGGCGAGTTCATGCAAAAACCGGCAATGGCCGTTGAAATCGTCGACGAGACTGTGCGCGTTGTGTAGACAAGCGACTGCATGCGGCCGCGGGTTGCGACCGGCTCGCGCTGCGCATACTCGACAACGAGCGCGTCCGCGGGCACGTCCGCAAACACATACGAGATGGTCGCGACACCAAAGAGAAGCGCAACGACACCGCCTTTGACGGGCGCGTCCAAGTTGATGGTCGCGTTCTGGGCCGCCGTGCGGAGACTGGCCTCGATCCTGGACACGCCTGCCTCGCGGTAGTACGGGTCGCCAAAGCTCATGGAGGCGAGGACAAGGAGACAAATGAACGCGCCGGACCAGCCAATCATCATCCACGACTTGCGCCGGTAGCCATAGATCGGCACGCAGTCTGAGATCATACCAATGAACGCCTTGAGCGACCAGCCAATGAAGAGAAGCGTCTTGGCCGAGTTGTACTGCGCGCCCGTCATGTGAAAGTAGCCGGTAAAGACGGGGTACGTCATGTTGGGGAGCGCACCGAGCATGAGGCCGACAGCGACGTACTGCGAGAGAAGACCGAGCACCTCCTTGCTCGTGTAGACGGGGGCGCCGCCTTCGCGCAGCGCACCGCCCTCGAGGTCGCCGGGCGTCTTGGCTTCGTCGTACGCCTTGTCGATCGTCGCCGAGACGAACGAGAGTCGCTCCTCAATGCCCAACGCGCAGTTGGTGGTGGTGTGGCTCTGCATCGCAAAACGAAAAATGAAGCGATGCTTGGCAGCCACAAAGTCGCAGTACACAGTAGCAGTTTGCCATTTGACGTGGGCACAGTGGGATATTGTTAGCGACGCCACGGGTGTTATAACGCGTCGTCTTCTACGCACTTGGCGTTAGACTGTCGTTGGAGTCGCCTTTAGCGTGTTGTACGCGTTGGCGCACGTGTTTGACGTACTATGACCGAGGTGTTAGATCGATCACCCAAGCGAACCCAGCTGTGACTAATGATCAGATTAACGCCATGTGTGTTCGGCTCACACAGTGGCGACGACGTTTTCGGGCCGCTCTCGCCTTCTATGGTCCACGATCCAGATTTCGAAGAGACGACGACTGCGACGTGCCCGGTGACGCTTTGGGTTATGCTTGTGGGTACCAATTACCATCGCGTCGGCAACACCCGCTGCAGCCAAAAGCATCTTTTATGATCTCTTGCCTTCATACGCCACTGTAGATAGGCGTAGTTTGCATGGCTCTCGACCTACCGGGACTAGTGCATGATGAGGAGCGCGCTCGTTTTGTTATTTAGCGGAGCCGTTGCGTGGTGATGTGGGTCTGCGATAGACGTTTAGTGTGATGTTATCTTGTGATCTTGGCTCGGAGAATCTCTGTGCTCGCTACGTGAAGCAAGAAGCACTGTGGTACAAGGTAATGTGGGTGGCGGCGTCGTCAGCTTCAATCCACGGCTGCAACTGATCGCACCCTGCCTGTCCATACAGAGGAGGAGCGAGATGGCTGCATCGCTCTTTGGAGAGTCAACTTTTTCCCTTACACTACAGTGTAGCAGAGTACGTAGAGCTACTAGTACGTAGTCGAAGGAACTGTGATAGAGTGGGCAACGCTGTGGCTTGTATGGTTTCTTTCGCAGCGCCAACCGTGCGATTTAACCGATGAGGTGAGTGTCGTCAGCCACTTTAGCGCCTTTCACCACCACCATTTTGCAGTTCGCGTGTCGAGTTTGAGGGTCAAGTCCAGGACGACATACATGTGCGATGCGCAGCAATGATACGGGTCGAGATGAACACGAAGCGTACCCTTGCCAGACGCAGAAACAGCTCGATCGCAAACTCGACTGCGAAACGACAACCCGTCGACAGCATTATACAACTTTGAAATGCCGTATTCGAGCCAGCGTTTATTAATAACTCTTCAACGGCAAATCCGAGAATTCTTGCAGATGGGCATTACCCTTGTTCGTGACGCTCCGGGCGGTCTTGACCGCATTGATCGTCTCCATCGATGGCTTTTCCAAAATCTGGATGACGTCATCGATTTTGGGACGGTCTTCCGGTTCCTTGGTGACGCACCACTGGACGAGTTCGCGGTACCACTCGGCGCAGTCGGAGCGCAACTCGGGCACGTACTCGCCTCGTCTCGCCTTCTCGTCGCTGCCTCGGGGCGCTGGCGCGCCCATGTCCATCTCGGCGAGAATGACGCCAAACGCATAAATGTCGGCGGACGCCAAGAGCTTGGGGGCGCCTTTCAAGACTTCGGGGGCAACGTAGTGCTCGGTCAAGAGACTCGCGTGAGTCATGGTCATCGACTCGACGCGGCACAGACCAAAGTCGGCGAGCTTGATCTGACCATTCGTGTTGAAGAGCACATTGTCGAGCTTGAGGTTGCCGTGGACCATGGACCAAGCTTGTTGGTCTTTTGGTCCTTTCGGTTTATGCAGCACCTGGAGCCCTCGCGCAATGGCAAGAGCGACATCGAGAATGTTGATTTCGTCGGGCTTTGTCGCATTCTTGGCCTCCGTCAACCGATGCAAGTGGCTGCGAAGGGTGCCGTCGTCCATGTACTCGAGGTAGAGCTGCCATTGGCGGCTGGACAAGTTGATCTTCTGCGTATAAATCTCGACAATGTACTCGGACTTGCAGCTATAGAAGGCTAATAAAAGAAGGGGAACAAAGAACGTCGTACGTCGAGAGGGCGCGCAACTCGTATACCGCGTCGAGGGACTTGACGAAGAGCGTCTTGGCAACGGCGGTCTTTCCTTCGTACGTAACCCGTCGGCATGTGCCAAAACGCCCGGACCCGAGGTTAGGGTTGCCGTCGCGACGTGCCACCATCTGAAGCTCGTGCATGCTCGGTGCGATTTCAAGCACCGAACGAATTTGGTTGTATTCGGTCTGGAAGGCAGTGTTGGCGGCGTCCTTGGTCTTCTCCGTGTACACTACATAGGTGGTCAATAATGGCTTTCTGTCGAAGGCGACGACGCACCGTGCAACGCAAAATCGACTGGCGAGAGGCCCTACGAAAAATAATGCCACGAGTCGGTCTCGTCGCGGGACTCGTACACCGCAGGGTTGGTAAAAGTCGGCACCGTGCGCAACGAGCAGCTGGACGAGGTCGGCGCGCAGCGCATAGATGACTGCAGCGAGCGGCGTCAAACCATTCTACATTCCTCATGATTGAATATACCCAGAGTCAAAATCACAAGACTGTACCAAATCAGCCGCGTCAACGTTGGCACGACTCGTGAGAAGCGCGTGAATAACCTCCTTGTTGCCCGTCGCAACGGCGTAGTGGAGTGGCGTCAGACCATGCTAGACAAAAAATCAAGTCAAGTAGCCGGACTCAAGAGATAACAAATAACCTTGTCTGCCGCGTTGATTTTGAGGCCGGTTTTTTCCGTGAGGAGCCGCACAATGTCGACCGCGCCGAGCTTGCACGCGGTATGCAGCGGGGTTTCTCCGCTACCCAAAGATATCACATACAAATCATGTCTTATTGCGGTCGTACTCGAAGAGGGCATTGACGTTGGCACCTTTGTTCAAAAGCACTTTGACAATCTCGTGGTTTTGGATAAAACACGCCAGGTGCAATGGCGAGCGTCCATCCTACAACAAGACAAGATTGATGACAGCGCCGTCATGATACTGCGAAGTTGTCGTACGAGCGAGACGTTGACGTCAGGGTTGTGCTGCAAAAGCGTCTTGAGCACGAGAATGGCTTCGTTCGACACTTTGGCTTGCGCGACAATCCAGTGCAGCCCGACCTCGAGCAGTGTGTGCCCTTCCTACGAGAGCAGGACCTGCAGTGACGATCGATCGAAGTGACGGACCTCACTGCGGGCGTCGCAGAGCAACGCGGGGTGCGCCTTCAGGAGCTTTGCTACTGCCAAAGAGTCGAGCGCCTTCACGGCGCGCACGGCTGCGTCGACGACCTCTTCTGGGTTCATGTCCAAACGGCAAATGCAGCAAGAAATGATCGGAGACATGTCTGTTGATAAAAATTATGAACGACACGAATTCCTCTATCTTTGGATACGCGTACCTGTATCTTTCGATACATTGCAGCAATAGATTGGCTATGTTTTGTAAATAGTATGTGATTTTGTATGCCGTCACCACACTACCTGTCACAATGCATATTTACCTGTCGATCGTTGAAGTTCATGATGGCGGTTGGAGCACTTGCTAATTTCAAATGCGCGGCTTTCACTTGCCATTTCGACGCCGATTACAGCCATGGCGCATGCGATGTCCCGGGAACTAACGAATGCTGAGGTCCGTCGTCCAGCGAGTTGTGCTGACTGACGCGTGCACGTAGGTAGCTGTGTTTGCGGCCATCCAGCGCGGCGACTACGGCGACGTCTGCGCGTTCTTGAAGAAGTTGGGCAATGTCAATATTGCCGATCCGGTGGAAACGATCGCAATGTCCAAACCAACGCTAATGCTTTGTACGTAGGCCAAGAAGACAAGCGAGTACACGTATACGCTTGTGCATGCGACGCTCGAGGCCTTTTGTACGGGGCGCCACGCCATTGAAAATTACTTGAAGCTGGGCAAAGACGCCAAGACGACGCAGGTCCAGGCACTCTGCAAAACGCAGCTCGAAATTCTGGACCTCGTCCTACGCACTCGCTTTGACGCGATGCAAGTGTGCAGCCAGGTATTGTTTGCAATAGCATCGACTCCGCGCCTTAATCATCTCGCTCTCTAGGATGCGTACGCCTTGCATCATCAACGCCGCTTCTTCTTTGCGTTGTATATTGATGCTGGCACTGTAGCACGACGCTGCCGACCTTGACGATGCGATGGGTTGAGCCGCCGCATACCGTCGCGTTCTTCAAGGTCCTCATGCATCGCGATCACACCCACAGCGGCATCAAGCCCAACATGTGCGACCTTGTGCCCGTACGTACACGCCATTGCGATTGATTCGACGACATTGTTCTCCACATATAGGGTCAGCCATGCGTCTTTGAGGCGGTTCAGCGCCGCAATTTCGAAGCCGCAACCTTCTTTTTCGCACATGGTATCGAAGTGACGACCATGAACGAGGTGCCTTCCTTCTACCATAGCCTGTTTGTGATTATCTTCCTAATTATAACGTCAGGACGGCGAGTGTCTTTTGTACAACGCCGTCATGCGCCGCGACCTGCTTGCGGTCGAGTTCCTGCTCCGTCAAACGGATATCAACGTCAACCAGGTTACCCTCGGGGTATATCTTAGTGCTATCACCATGCGAGCTCACGTTTTAAACAGAGCCGAGAAACACCG